GTCCTCGGCGTCAGCCCGCTGGGCCGCAGGGAAAGGAGCCTGGACCCGGCCGGCGGCGGACGCAGCGAGGACGCCTCTGGCGCCGAGCGGGGCGCGGAGATGCTCTACCCAAATCCTCGTCCGAGGCCCTGGCCCGGAGGATCTCCTCTGTCCTCGTCCTCGTCCTCGTCCTCGCGCTCGCCCCGCCCTGCGCAACCTCGCCCTCGTGCTCCTGAGGTCCGTCCAGCGCGCCCCGGCCTCCTCCAGCTCCTCGCCCCCGCGATCCCCCCCCCCCCGGATCCCCTTGCTGTCAGGGAGGCCGGAAGCACCAATGGCCGGAGTCGCTTCGTCGAACATCCTCGGGCCACGAGCTGGACTCGCAGCGCGGGGGGGCCCGCCGCCTGTGTGCGAGGCCACGCGAGGGCACAGCGCAGGAAGCATCTGCGGCCACGGGCACCCCACCACGTCGCCCAGGCCCACAACGTCGCGAACCGAAGACGGCCAATTCGCGAATCGACGTGTCAGGGTGGGAGGCCTGTCCGCCCCCGAAAGGAGGAGGAGGAGGAAGAGGAGGAGGAGGACGCACCAGCACAGCCTACGGCGTGCGCTTCAGCACTGCACTGCGGGCGTGCGCTCCGGCGCGAGAGGTCCAGCAGTCGGGCTCCCCGGCGCAGCCCGCGCCTCGCTCTGCGCTCGGCCGGCCGCGCACGCTCCGCCGCCCTCGGCGCGCGCTCCGCCGGCCCGCGCTCCAGCCGCCGCTCCCCCTGCGAGCTCTCCATGCGTGCCCTCTGCCCGCGGTCCGTCCGTGGATCGAGGCACTTGCCACGGATCCGCCCTCGGCCCACCCTCGGGGGCGTCCGAGAGGGCTGCGCGCCCGAGAGGGGCGCTCGCAAGCCGTGGCCCGAGGCATGTGCGCGGCCGAGGGAGGGACCAGGTGACGCCTCGAAGAGCGGAAAAAGGGGGGCACGAGACCTGCGAGATATCATGGGCCCAGACATGATATCCCCCCCGCCCGCCGTCACCTCCCCCCCCCTCTTGGCCGGCTCCGACACCCCATCCCCATGCGACCCTCGCTCCATCCATGGGCCCGTGGACTTCTGCGCGCCGGCTTCGGCCGGCAGCCTTCCGCGGAGCTCCCGCCGCCGAAGCGACGCGGCTCGTGTGCGCACGCTGCTCACGCGCGCACGGCGCAGATGCAGTGTGCGCAAGCGGGGCTACGAGCCAGCGGCACGTGCAAGGCTCGAGACGCTCCCCCCCCCTCCGCAATCGCCCGCGCTCGCCCGGACGGGGCCAGGCCGGGTCAATGATGGGGTCGTCCAGCGGCACGTGCAAGGCTCGAGACGCTCCCCCCCCTCCGCAATCGCCCGCGCTCGCCCGGACGGGGCCAGGCCTGGTCAATGATGGGGTCGTCCAGCGGCACGTGCAAGGCTCGAGACGCTCCCCCCCCTCCGCAATCGCCCGCGCTCGCCCGGACGGGGCCAGGCCGGGTCAATGATGGGGTCGTCGTCGTCGTCGTCGTCGTCGTCGTCGTCGTCGTCGTCGTCGTCGTCGTCGTCGTCGTCGTCGTAGTTACCAGGAGGGGTCTATGGGGATACGATAGGATGCGGAAGCAGTTGTTCCCAATGGTCTCTGTCGAACACTGACCAGCGCTCGTCGGAGCAAGGCTTGAGATAGGGAGGCCGGGCAAGCATGCAGGTTCGGGGGAGGCGGAGGAGGATAGGGCGGGGCAGGCAGGGGAAGGAGGAGGAGGAGGACGAGGAGGCGGAGGAGGCGGAGGAGGCGGAGGAGGAGGAGGCGGAGGAGGAGGAGGAGGAGGAGCGAGGAGGAGGGGGGGAAGGGGACCCGCCGAGCACGAGCCGCGCGAACGGACGGAGTCGGGACGATCGGTCCTTGCTCGACCGGGCCCGAGCGCAGGCATACCCAGACAGGCTCGCCTCGTAACAAAAAACAGCAGGACGGGAAGCCTTTGGTCATTCTCGGCCTCTCGAGGCCCTTGCTGGGGCCGACTTCCGGGGGCCGCGCTCTGCAATAACTCGGACGTCACAGGTCTGGGTGCGGGCGGGGACTCTGGCTCAGAGTGCGGTTGCGGTGGACCTGGCAGCACGCTGTGCCGTGCGAGCGGACAGCGTGTTGCTCGGCCCCGCAGGGCGGGAGGCTCGGAGAAAGGCCAGGAACACTGACGCTTGGGAATGGGGACGTGGATGGCATGTCGCGCCGACGCGTGGTGGGCCAGAACCGTAGGTACGGCGGGCTCGTGCCGTGACGACCTCGGCGATGGTGCCTGACACCGCGTGGATCGCTCCACCTGAAGGATGGGCGGCCTTTCGACCGGCAGGTCTGTCCGTGTTGGCCGATTCTGGGCCCCTGGCGGCGTGCAACCCTGGACGCCCGCGGCGGCGTCGCCGCCCCATCGCCACGACTCGAACCTGCCGAAGACTGGGGGCGCAAGGAGGTGGAATCCTCATCGAAGCAACACGAGGTGCACGGTTTCCCCCGAGGCCGTAGGCAACCCGAGGAGGAGGAGGAGGAGGAGGAGGACAAGGAGGAGGGGGGGAGGAGGGGGGGGGAGATGGAGGAGCAGGAGCAATCCTGCGTCACTTTGAGGACGCCCCAAGGTCCTGGTAGGTACCCAAGTATGACAAATTGCAACACTTTTTAACGACGCGGCCTTGATCCCTCCACGGAAGACGCCCCTCCTGGACACCATCCTGACATGTCTTTCGAGCAACGTCTGGCCGTTGACGCAGAAGGGACGCCCCGACCCCCCCCCAACCCCTACAAATAAATATCGAATGTCTCCATCTCGAGGGTCGCCGCCGCACCATTGCGGCGCCAACCCGCCGCAGAATTGCCACGAACCTTCCCCGCTCGGTTACACTTAAGTCGGGCCTGTCCCCCGACAGGGGGATTTTGGACAAAAATAAAAAGTAGTTTAAAACATACCCTGAACATATTCAAAAAATGTCAAAAATCCTCCTCAGACTATTTTATCTAACAGCTTCTGCTGATAGGTTTCTAATGGGATCAAAAGAAAGCATCTGGACTTTTTTTTTTTTTGCATCTCGGGCCATACGCACGCGGCTCTGGCCAGTCACCCTCCAGGTGGGGTGGCCTGACGGTGCCTGGGCGTGCCGAGTGGTGGGGACCCAGGGCAGAGACCGCCAGGCGGGTGGCCCCTCACAAGCACGCAGCACCGCCGAGATGGCGGTGGGGCTTGGACGGGGGCCTAGTCCGACTCGTCCTCGCCGAAGCCCACAGGAGGGATGAGCGGTTCCCCATCCTCCTCTTGGCGCAGGCTGGAATGCAGCTGGCGCACGCGTCCGGCCTCGGACCGCTGTGGGCGAGGCGCAGGGTGTGGGGTTGGCGGGCTCGGGAGCGGCGTCGCAGCGGGCGCTGCTGCTTTCTCTCTCTGCGCGCGCTGCTGCCTTTGAATTTCTGCGGTATTGTACCGCTCGGACTCTGAAGCAAAAAGACGAAATCTGGGATGCTTGCCATCCAACAGACGATTTCTCACATTCGCACGTCCACCACTCTTGGGAGGCCGTCCAGGACAGGTGGCGGGCAAACCTCTGAAAGCATACTGGGCATAACGCCCACAGACTAAGCAAAAGACAACAGGCACGGCAAAATGCGCAATTGCCATCTGGTGGCTGGCATGAATAGCTTCTAGGCCGCGTCTGAATGCGCTGGCCAGTGGCTGGCATGCCTGCCTCTCACGTGCGACAGCGGCCTTATACGATCGGGCGTACGTAAAACATGCTCTGCACCTGTACGGTATCGGCCCCTGAAGAACCTCCCAGTCGTGCACGACGATGGTAGCCTGAACCTTACAGGGCAGAGCGGCTCTCTCGCTCTTGTGCCTGTTGCGCTGGCACAAGGCAAGAACTCTGGGTGCATAGAAACCAATCGCTCGAGCGGCCTCGATCTTGCGTTGCAACTCATGCAGCGCGGTCGGGTTGAAACTTGGGTGACAGTCCACTGCCGCCTTCGCCATCTTGTCTGCTGCAGCATTGATCTCCGCAGCAAGTCTGGCCTCTCCAGCCAATGAATGTATATCCTGATGGCTCTTGACCTTAGAGGCCGTCTCGAGATGATGTCTGCTGTCCCGCGCAAGCGCTAGCTTGTGCAGGCCTGAATACTTAAGCTTACTGCTGAGACGTGTCGGCAGTGGCCTAGCGTGCTGATCAAGGACCGCTTTGCAGTCCACCCAAGTCTTCGAGGGTTTGGTGAGGGCCTCCTGGAGAACCAGGAAGCCCATGTGCTCCCCAGCCTGAGAGGTCTGGGGAAGGTTCGCAGCGACAGCGCCATAAAAGGAGGCCTCTGGGGCCCCGTCGGTACTGTAAGCCACTACCGAGAACGTCGCTCTGTCTAGCTCCGCTATGCCTGTCTTGGTGCACGACCCGTCGGTTCCCGTGAGCCCCCCAAAGTGCGGTACCGTGTCAGGCTGACCGTCGTGTCTGACGAATCGAACGATTGGATTCTCTCTCGGCAGCGGAAAATCATCATGCTGTTCCCCTGGGTGCTCGAAGATACCGAAGCAGTACAGGGGGCTATTCTCTGGCGCCTCCAGCGCGGCCTGCAGCACGTCTGGCGGCAGCAGCTCTGTCCTGAGGGCAACTACCTCTGGATGCTGACAAGAAAAGAGACGATGGTGTATGGTGCCCCCGAAGACTTTACAGAGCGGGCACTCATTAGGCACGTCGTAGCCTATCTGAGCGAGTTTTTCTTCAGTCCACCATCCCTGGACCACGAGAGTTTGGAGAATGGCCTTAAACCTGGGGGGGGGCTTCTTGCTTTTGGGGGAGAGCAAGGCACGAACCACGTCAAAACACACCCTCTTCATGGGGGTCGGGCTGGGTATGCTCTTAGCTGCAATTGTTTCCCACCTCCTCTGGCATCCTCGGTGCAGCAAGTCGGAAAGCAGGCTCGGCGAGGTGTCAGTGAGCCTGACCGTCCTGCCAAAGTGGTCCTGCAGCGTGAAAGCGGATGTGAAACTCCAGCCAATTCGGTGAAGCGCATGGGCTGCCGCACTGAGTGGTCCTCGCACGGCGTTATAACACATGTGTCCTATTGGCTGCACGTTGTTATAAATCTG